TCATACGCAGCTATCAATGACGATAATAATCGTTTTTAATTATTCGAGCAGGTCATCGATCGCAAGGTGCGCGAACTTTTGGTAGAATCGGACATTCTGCCATTGGATACGCCAGCGTCGACGATACGCGATAATGGCTATAGGGGCATCATCATCTCCGGTGGACCCAATTCAGTTTATGCTGAAGATGCGCCCACGTATGATCCCGATCTGTTTAAACTGAAAATCCCTATGCTGGGCATCTGCTATGGCATGCAGTTAATCAACAAAGAGTTCGGCGGCACCGTGCTCAAGACGGACGTGCGCGAGGATGGCCAGCAAAATATTGAGATTGAAACATCGTGCCCGTTGTTTAGGTAGGACTAAGGAAATCCCTATTATGCATCTCCAGCAGCAAAAAGAAAGCGTTCAAATTGCAAGCTCATTTGAGCGCTGATACAATGCTGCCAGAGCAAAACGAAGCCAGGAACAGTTCAGTTTAGCGTAGTCTATAAACTGATCTACACGTGGCCTCACATTTTATAAATCATTTAATTTGTTCACTTCAATTAATAAACATGTTTAATCTCTTGCAGTCGCCTTAGTCGCACACAGTCAGTGCTGCTCACCCATGGCGATAGCGTGGAGCGCGTGGGCGAGAAACTTAAAGTCGGTGGCTGGTCAACGAATCGCATTGTGACAGCCATCTATAACGAGATCTTGCGAATCTATGGCGTACAATTTCATCCAGAAGTCGATCTAACCATCAATGGCAAACAAATGCTATCAAACTTTCTGTACGAAATATGCGAGCTAACGCCAAACTTTACCATGGGCAGTCGGAAAGAGGAATGCATACGCTATATACGCGAAAAAGTGGGCAATAACAAAGTCTTGGTATGTCTCTAAATTTCGTAAATATTGTATTAAGAAAACTATATCAAATTGTTAAACTCTTTGCAGTTGCTGGTCAGCGGCGGCGTTGATTCGAGTGTGTGTGCCGCATTACTACGACGTGCTCTGCATCCAAGCCAAATCATAGCAGTGCATGTGGATAATGGTAATGTTAGCACCGGAGGATTTTTTAGCCTTAGCTGTTTAACTAATTTAATGCTTACCTCACAGGTTTCATGCGCAAGAACGAAAGCGAAAAGGTGGAGCGTTCGTTGCGAGATATTGGCATTGATTTGATAGTGCGTAAGGAAGGCTACACGTTCCTCAAGGGCACCACGCAAGTGAAGCGACCCGGCCAGTATTCTGTTGTTGAAACGCCGATGCTATGCCAGACCTATAATCCGGAAGAGAAGCGTAAAATCATTGGTGATATATTTGTAAAAGTGACCAACGATGTGGTCGCTGAATTGAAACTAAAACCCGAGGAGGTACTGCTGGCGCAGGGCACACTGCGACCCGATTTGATTGAATCCGCGTCCAATATGGTCAGCACGAATGCCGAAACAATCAAGACGCATCACAATGACACGGATCTGATACGGTAGTGCGCTAGCATATTCAAGATATTATTATATTTTAGTTTGTTTTATTTTGGTATGCCTTGTGAAAAATATTAGAAATTCATATGTATATCGGAAGCAGTTCATATATGGAACATATAACTGGAGCCAAACATTTTAAAGAAATTGACCCTACAACAAGTTGTAGGCAAGTGCTGGCACTGCGTGTGCCAAAGGATACAATTATATTTTGTGTTAACCTTACCCTACTATAAATACCCAAAATTTCGTATTAACTTTCTCTAAATGTATGTTAAATAATTTTTGCAGGGAGCTGCGTAATGCTGGACGTGTCGTAGAACCATTATGTGACTTTCACAAGGACGAGGTGCGTGATCTAGGCAATGATCTGGGCCTGCCAGCGGAATTGGTCGAGCGACAGCCCTTTCCCGGACCTGGACTAGCCATACGCGTGCTATGCGCGGAGGAAGCCTATATGGAAAAGGATTACTCAGAGACACAGGCATGAAATATTCAAAGACCATCATAAATCCGACTAATCCTCGATTTTTTACGTTCACAGGTCATCGTGCGCGTTATTGTGGACTACAAGAATAAACTGCAAAAGAACCATGCGCTTATTAATCGTGTGACGGGCGCCACCAGTGAAGTTGAGCAAAAGGAACTTTTGCGCATCTCTGCCAATTCAGATATACAGGCAACACTGTTGCCGGTACGATCGGTGGGTGTGCAGGGTGATAAACGCACCTATAGCTATGTGGTGGGTTTGTCAACGACGAGCCCGGAGCCCAACTGGCAGGATATGTTGTTTTTGGCCAAAATAATACCGCGCATATTGCATAATGTTAACCGAGTCTGTTATATCTTTGGCGAGCCCGTGCAGTATCTAATTACGGATATAACGCACACAACGCTCAATACTGTGGTGCTGGCACAGCTCCGGCAAGCGGATGCCATAGCCAATGAGGTGAGCACAAAAATAAAGCAAGTTAATTGTGATTATAATTATATTTCTTATCAATAGATTATTATGCAAGCGGGTTTGTATCGGAAAATCTCACAAATGCCCGTAGTTCTGATACCCGTACACTTTGATCGTGATCCCATTAATCGTACGCCCTCCTGCAGAAGATCTGTGGTGTTACGTCCATTTATAACGAACGATTTTATGACTGGTGTGCCAGCTGTGCCCGGCTCTGCTCAACTGCCATTGCAAGTGGGTCATCAAGAGGCTGCTTTTAAATGCAATAACAATTGCTAACTTGTTCTTGTTTACTTATTACAGGTTCTAAATCAGATAGTGCGCGATATATCGAAACTGGATGGAATTTCGAGGGTGCTGTACGACTTGACAGCCAAGCCGCCCGGTACCACCGAGTGGGAATGATGCGTTCAAAACCAAAACCTTTAACAGCCATTTCAATAGCAATAGAGATATGTAGAAACAATAAACTACTACTGCATGGTAATTAACAAAGAGACGCATGAGACAATAGCAGAGATGCCGCCTGCTGCTCATCCAAAAATCCTGGGACAGCTAACAGCTATTAAGCAAAACTGAGAGCAACTGAGATAAACGAGAGAGAGAGATAGGAGAGCGTAAATACAATTTAGAGTGCCGCTTTAACAAAACAAAACAAAACAAAACAAAAAAACAAACACCACAACCAACAACAAAATATTAACAAAAACAATTCAGGTTTATAATATCGATTATTGTGTGTAATTAAAAGTAACGCGAAACGATGTTAAACAACAAACAAGAAATTAACACCAGATGGCAACAAATAATATATATTATTGCTGTATATTGAAATATTAACATGTTTAACCAGCATGTGCGATTTGTTCCTTTTATGAAAAGGAGATTACAAAACACATAAGATACATAAGTAACAAAAACAATTTATTTACGCATTTTTTAGTTATATACATAATTATACATATATATACATATATATATATGCATATATATACACACACATAAATGTTATATATATATACATGTATATATACAGATATTAAATTAATGCAAAACCATGTTCTGAACGTTGTATATTTGCATGGAAAGTGTTTTCGAGGAAATCGTGTTTGCAAAACAGAAAATTGTAAGAAGTACGAAATATATAAAAAAGAAAAACAAAACAAAAGAAAAACTATTGTAAGCTAAAATTATGAATTGTTATATAAAAACGTTTTACTATTTAAATGGCAAAAACCACAGCAAAACAAATTATTATAATTAAAAAAAAAACAAAAAAAAAAAAAAACAAAATAAACTAAAAAGAAATGTAATAAAATCGAAAAGGCTATATGTAAATACATTCTCGAATTTTATGAAGGTACAAATGCTCATTGTTCAAATTTTCAGCGTCCGCCCGGTTGCTCCAACCTACGGCAGCCGATGAAAAGCCTCCGATGTTAGGCTCATAGTGCCGCGTCGTCTATTCCTCAGGTGCTCCAAAGTTTGCAGCTTTTGTCCAAAGAATGTGGGGCTTTTGCTCTTACTGCGACCCAAACGCATGCACTTGGCTGCGAGACTCTCCCCGGGCACGCTTTCCGATTCAGACTCGGGCTAAAGGGATTGTGAGTGAAAATTATTGTAGTACAAATATTAAAATATATTTAAATAAAAGTTTTAATGCAATTCTAGGTTGGCTGGATGTCTAAAAGATCTGCAATTTAAATGCCCACTTACAACTTGAACCACTTTGTTAACTGGCTTTTTGCGGTCGAACATGTGTTTGAGCAAAAACTGAAATCGATCCGAATAGCGCAACTTTGGTGGCTGCTCTCCGACTTTATTATAAAATTGGGCCCCCTGTCGACGCACTTGATTCAGCTGGACCTTGTAGCGCCATTTAACAATGAGCTGCTTCCATCTCTCCGGCGTTGGCACAGGATGTGCAGTAGTGATCATTTCCTCAGCGATCTGTTGCCAGATCTGTGCCTTTAGATCGTAATTGAAGAAGTCCTTGTGATTCTCCATCCAGAGACACTCGTTCTTCCTGTACAAATCGATCAGCTTGAAATGGAGGCGCCATTTGCGTTTGGTGCGCGGCGTGGCGATAGTTAAGTTTGTTACGGAAGTGAAACTATTCGAGCTCTGCGCCTTGTTGGCCATAATGTAGCAGGACTGTAAATTTGGACAATTGCTAATATAAATAGCATTTAAATCTATAGAAACAGTTGACAGTTTCAAAGTTTTATTCATTCAATATATATTGCTAGGTGTTTGTTTGTTTTCTTTTTTTAAGTTTTAAGTTTTATAATTGATACAATTAATTTAAACACACGTTAATGAGTGGATGCATTTGGGGTGCAGGAAATGGGTCAGCACATGTCCGAAATGGATGTTGTGGTCACTTATTGTCCGCTTCAAAAATCAAAAATCTTGCGCGTTTTGTATTTCATACATATTACAATAAATTTTATTCGCATTCGCAGCAAACAAATTAGCAAAAAAACAAAGTTCAACTAAATATAATAATTTATGTATGTATAATTGTATATATATATATATAAAACTGTTTCACAATGTCTCGATTTATGTTTCGATTACATAACTTTTACTATTAGCACTTTCGACACTGAATAAAAAAAAGCAAAAAGCAACTCGCCAGAAAAAATTAAATATGATATATAGATTGAAAAAAAAGAATACCATAATTTGATTGCTTGCGTTTCATGTCGGGCGTATATAAGTATCTATATGCATGTGTTCGTGTCTTGAGTGTGTGTGTGTGTGCTGTGTGTATGTGTGGGAGGCGACTCGAGAGGGGGGTCAGTAGCTTATTGGGCCAACTCCTTCATGCGATTGAGAGCGCTGCCCGCCTTAAACCAGCCAATCTGCAGATCATTGAGCGTATGGTTAAGCTTAATCCTCTCCACCTTGTCGCCATTCTTGATCTCGCAATCAACGGGCTTGCCGGGCGCCAAGCTGCTCAGATTCAGCAGCGAAATCTTGCTCGTGGGTTGGATCTACAAATATATAATTATATGTATATATCTAATATAATTTAAATTCATTTTAGAGCCCCGAAAATCGAGAGACTTGAACCCAAAGATATTCATTTAAACGATGTTCGACCTGTTCCGAGTCAGTGACATGTTCGAGCTGCAACTCAAACAGTTTGAGCTGGAACAATAAGAGTCTTGACTTCCTCGACAGTTCGACTATCCGAAAGGTGTTTCACTTGATTCGATGCAGGGCTCTAATTCTTATATTTCAGAACTTACCTTGTCGTAGTCGGCGGCGTTGGCAAAGGTCAGCGGCAGGAGGCCCTGTTTCTTGAGGTTAGTCTCGTGGATGCGCGCAAACGACTTCACAATGATGGCGCGTCCACCCAAATGGCGTGGTTCGAGAGCGGCATGCTCGCGAGAGGAGCCCTCACCGTAGTTATCATCACCGATGGCCACCCACTTAATGTTGTTGGCCTTGTAGTCGCGTGCGACTTCGGGAACATTGCCCCACTTGCCGGTGCGCTGGTTCTTGATCTTGTTCATCTCATTGTTCTCAATGTTGGTGGCGCCAATGAACAAGTTGTTGGAGATGTTGTCCAAATGGCCGCGATACTTGAGCCAGGGGCCGGCGGCAGAGATGTGATCCGTGGTGCACTTGCCCTTGACCTTGATCAGAACGGTCATGTCGGTCAGATCCTGGCCGCTCCACTTGTCGAAGGGCTGCAGCAGCTGCAGGCGCTGCGACTTGGGATCAACAGCAATAGCGACGCTATCGCCGACCTGTTTATGAGAGAAACTCAAATTAGATACAAGCAATCTAAAGATTAGTTTGAACTTACTGGTGGTGGTGCGGTGTAGGTGTCCTGGCCGGGATCGAAGCCCCTGGAGGGCAGCTCATCACCGAACGGTGCCTTCAGCTTGAATTTCTTGCCATCGGCGCCAGTGAGCTCATCCTTCAACGGATTGAAGTCCAAGCGACCGGCAATGGACAACGCGGTGACCATCTCGGGGCTAGTCACAAAACAATGTGTCGCCGGATTGGCATCATTGCGACCGGTAAAGTTGCGATTGTACGAGGTGACAATGGTGTTCTTGTCGCCCTTCTTTACATCCTGACGATCCCATTGGCCGATGCAGGGACCACAGGCATTGGCCAGCACAGTGCCGCCGAACTTGTCGAACACCTCGGAGAAGCCATCGCGTTCAATAGTGGCACGAATCTGCTCTGATCCGGGGGTCACATTGAATGGTATTTTGGACTTGAGGCCATGGCTCATGGCATCCTTGGCAATGCTGGCACAGCGACCCATATCCTCGTACGAGGAGTTCGTGCATGAGCCAATCAGGCCGACCTTGATGTCCATGGGATAGCCGTTCTTCTTGGAGTTCTCGCCCAGTTTGCTAATGGGATGAGCCAGATCTGGCGTGAATGGACCATTCACATGCGGTTCCAGTGTATCTAGGTTGATCTCAATCAGTTCATCGTACTCGCAGTTCTTGTCTGCGGTCAACACCTTGGCCTGATACTTCTTGGCCTCATCGGCGATGCCGCTGCGGCCAGTCGACTTCAGATAGTCGGCCATGCGCTGATTGAAGGGGAACAACGAGGTGGTGGCACCAATCTCAGCACCCATGTTGCAAATGGTGGCCATGCCTGTGCAGGAGATGGAGTCAACGCCCTCGCCATGATACTCAATGATGGCGCCAGTGCCGCCCTTGACAGTCAGAATGTCGGCAACCTTCAGAATGACATCCTTGGGCGAGGTCCAGCCAGTAATTTTGCCCGTCAAATTGACACCAATCACCTTGGGGCACTTCAGCTCCCAGGGTATATCAGCCATGACATCGACAGCATCAGCACCGCCGACACCAATGCACAGACCACCAAGACCGCCGCCATTGGGCGTGTGCGAGTCCGTGCCGATCATCAGCAGACCGGGGAAGGCGTAGTTCTCCAAGATGATCTGATGGATGATGCCGCTGCCTGGCTTCCAGAAGCCCAGGCCATATTTGGCGCAGGTCGTTGCCAGGAAGTCATAAACCTCACGATTCAGATCCTTGGCACGGGCCAAATCCTTGACACCACCGATTTGCGCCTCAATCAAGTGATCGCAGTGCACGGTCGAGGGCACCGCAACCTTCTTCAGGCCGGAGGAGATGAACTGCAGCAGGGCCATCTGTGCGGTGGCATCCTGCATGGCGACACGATCGGGACGCAGACGCAGATACGATGTGCCGCGCTCAATATCCTGATTCGCTGGATCATCCAAATGCGAATAGAGCACCTTTTCGGACAAGGTCAACGGGCGATTCAGACGACTGCGCACCACATCCAGGCGCTTGGTCAGCTTATCGTAGGGCAGATAGACGTCCGAGTCGAATTTCGACAGTGCCACCTTGGAGGCGGTATAGCAGGAAGCATGAAATTGACGGGCCATGGGATCCACAACATGTTTGCCCAGTTTGCACACCTGTATATACCCAAATTAGACAAGTGTTTGGCCAATTAGCACGTTTCAATATAATTAGAATAAAGCTAATAGAGAGCTGGAAAATAGTTTCACATTTCAAATCTGTAATTTGTAACCAAAACCCCAACAAAATAGTATTTTACGTTGGGAGTTGCGCGTTTTGAAACTTTAAAATGTTAATAACAGTTACATGTTATGGCATTAACATGTATAGGTATATTAACACAAGTGCTCAAATTGTCATTAACAGCTAAACGCACACGAAGATCTTTTAAAATTACACGAGAATAACATTTTGTCTTGGTCTCTGCTGCTAGCAGACGCGTTAAGACCACTTAACAGAGCGCGCTTGTTTTTAATATTTATGTGTAACAGACAGTTGTATGTTATGGTATTTACATTGGCAAATATGTTAACCAGACTGTTATTGCCAATAAACAGATAATTAGAGTTTAGTAAACATTTATACAACTCAATTCAAGCGCTGTGAAAAGCATAAATATTTAATCGTAAATCACAAGCTGAGTAATTTGTTTGCCCATCGCTAATGCTATGCGTAAACCTTGTGATTCGCATAGAGGCACACTATAAATAATAGTTGATTAACATATCAGGGGCACTTATATTATTAATTAACTTGATTGACCAGCTGTATGAACAGATTACCGATAAGATAGCTATTGGCAACGGGCTTCTCATTTGATGCAATGGTTCTCATTTAAGTATCTATACAATATACAGTAAAAGCTCTCATAACAAACGCGCTTCTACAAAAAGCGAACAAAAAATGTTTGAAAAGAAAAAATGATCTCTTGAAATATAATTTACTAGATTTTCCCTAACGGACAACTCTTATAAACTTTCCTATGCACGACAAGAATTATTACTGAGAGTATCCGCTCAAGGGACTCTTCACTGTACATACACATGTAAGCTTTCAGTACTAATTCACGTGATCAATAAATAGCAACAAAGGCAAAATCAAGCAAACTCAACCAATTACGTGTAAAGGTCATTAACATTTGGGCCCCTACCCCTTGCAGATGTTATTGCTCCCCCACAGAGTGAGCTGCAGCTGTTTTTTTTTTTTTTTGGAGAAACGATCCCAATTTTATGCTGTTTACCGCGTTTAAATGGAAAAGTACGCGCAGAGTGCGTGACTTTCGAGCACAAACGTAATACAGTTGCATATTTTTATATAGACTATAATTAAAAATACTATCAAAGTGTCACAAGATAAGAACAAATAAGATATATGGTCGGGGCTTCTCGCAGCAATTGCCAGTTGAATAACGATGCTTATATAAAAACATACAAGTTGCACGTTGTTTAATTTGTTGCAAATATTGTTGTTATTGTCTCAAAGGTCATTTTATTTACACACACCAATTAACACAAAAGGCTGGCACAAAAAATTCTACACAACATTTGAAAAATTTAAAGAAGTACCAGAACATACTTCGATTAGGTAACAACTTTTTGATTGGTTTTTAGGTTAGAAAAGCGCAACGCGAAAAATTCCAATTTGCATAGCGAGCGCATTTAATTTTTCAGCTGATATGCATATGAGAACAAATTATTTAATTGATGTCATTGTGTTATTGGAGTTTAATTGTGTTATCAGCTTTAATTTGATTTTCTTTGCGTGCCTGTGTGTATATGTGTGAATGCACTGACTCCCGCTTCCAGAATTTAGGCATGGTTATTTGGCAACACGTACCTGTGCCTGTGCGTTCATTAATCTCGCTGCCATAATTACGCGTTTATTTTTCGTACAATATCCAACTATTTATAAACACTCGAAAATTTTGTTAGGTGACTTTAAATGATAACCCAGTCGTACATCAAAATTTTCAGCCCTCTCAGCCGGAAGATTTTAACACAGACTGAGCGCAAATCGCAAAAGTTGCCTGGCGGCGAGGGTGACATGGTCTTAGAGATGAGCAACAATTGTCCAAGTGACTGGTGAATTTCGATAAGAGCGACTGACTAGTCTATTGTAGTATAAGATAATTAAAAGGAATATAGCTGCGAGTCTATAAAGAAAACGTTAATAATAACTGTCTAAGTAAAAATTGATTGACAGCTTTTTAAAATTTAATTCCGAAAAGTTCCTGTGACAATTGCCCAGCGCTAGTCAGCTCTAGCCGATGTGCCATCGATATCGATAACAACAGATAGTTTGTTAGCCAACACTGATTTTATGTTTTGTTTGCGTGGGTGGATGGGCGGGCTTGCGCCCATTTGTCACAACTGTGCGAATAATATATTAGTTGGAAAAACATAAATTAGAACTATCCAGAAATGTGCGGTCATTTGGCTGCTTGGCATTGCAATGTCCGATCGTCGTAAACGTGGTTGTATGCCCGAAGTAACTGTAGATTATCACGCAGTGCCATTACATGGGACTCCAACGGAAAATCTTAATCGAAATTCAAACTCAACGCCAACGACTACGTCATGCTGCAGGCGTCCCGCGGCTGCTGCAGCAGAGCAAAACTCCTTATGCTGTGGGCATGGCTATATTATACCCGTGTTCATATTGTTTGTGCTTGTTCTAATTGTACTGCTGTTGCCTTGGGAAACACTAAATGGCCATATGGACGAAACTACCCCCGTCGAAAAGCCGTTGCCTTGTCAACTCCAGCTGGTGGAGACGATACCAATTGGCTTGAACTACACACACGATAGTCCCAAGTTTTTGAGCACCTTTGAGGCGTGGCAGCTGCTGCTGACCAAAGCAAAGGCGACGATAGACATAGCTGCTCCGTACTGGACATTGCGTGGAGTCGACGTGAATGACAGCAGCACCCAACTGGGTGAGCAGCTATTCCAGCGTTTGCTCTCGAATGGGGATCCGGGCAAGCCCAAGTTGCGCATACGCATTGCGCTGAACAAGAGCCTGGAGAGCTCGTGGCATGCGGATGCCCGAATCTTTGCCAACTATGGCGCCGCTCAAGTGGTGGCCGTCAAGCTGGCCAATGAGGGTGGTGCCTTGCACACAAAACTCTGGATTGTGGATGGACAGCACTTCTATTTGGGCAGCGCCAACATGGACTGGCGCTCGTTGACCCAAGTCAAAGAGCTGGGCGTTCTTGCCCAGAACTGTCCGCAGCTAGGTCGCGATTTGTCCAAGATCTTCAAGGCCTACTGGCAGCTGGGCAGCGATAAGGATACTATCATGCCCAAGCCGTGGCCATGGTCCTATTATACCCCATACAATCTGCGTCAGCCTATGCTCATCCGCGTCAACAGAAACTATACCATGCATGCCTATATATCCAGTGCTCCGCCGCCGCTTACGGCCAGCGGACGTACCCATGATCTGGATGCCATCTTAAACTGCATAGACACGGCTCTGGAATTTGTGCATATTGCTGTCATGGACTACTATCCGTTGATTTTGTTGGGCGGCAAATTGGAGTTTTGGCCGCCCATTGATAATGCTCTAAGGAAAGCGGCCGTGGAGCGTGGCGTGGCGGTCAAGCTATTGATTTCGTGGTGGAAGCACTCGGATCCCAACGAGGATAACTATCTGCGTTCGCTGCAGGAGTTGTCCACTGTCGACCACCAAGTAGATATACAAATTGTAAGTATTTGTGGTTTATTTCAAGCATCAAATTTATATTGGTTTAACTTGCAGCGTCGTTTTATTGTGCCTTCGGATGAGCAGCAGCTGAAAATACCCTTTGCCCGTGTCAATCACAATGCCTACATGGTCACCGAGAGAGTTGCGTATATAGGCACCTCCAACTGGTCGGGCGAGTATTTTACCCACACGGCTGGCGTCGGTCTGGTCCTGGCCGATGTGGACTTTGAAAATGAAACGCAACACACTTTGCGCTCGGATCTATTAGATGTCTTTTCAAGGGATTGGCATAGTCCCTATGCGCTGCCGCTGAAATATAATTTGCGTCTTTGAGTTTTTAACATTCAATATTTAAATATTGCGCGCGCTCGTTTCGCCGCGCTGTTGTTTTACAACACTGCCACATAAAGCTGCTTCATGTCATAACAAATAGTCACATCCAACCTGAATTAGAAAATTACAAAATAAATCCAATATCAAGCCGAAAATGAATTTTTACACGGCTCAGCATCGTCCGTATATGCTCTCGCTAAAATAATTTTTGCGTGTTTGAGTTTTTAAAATATTTTTAAATTTTTCGCGCAATAAACTCACATCGTTGTCGTTTTCCAGCACTGCCACATACATCTGCTGGATGTCATAACAAATAACCTAACCTCAATAAAAAAAATGACAAAATAAACATAAAATAATGGCAAACAAAAAGCCTACGCGTGATCTGATCGGCATTATTTGGACCAATTTTTGGCGTTCGTTCTTGCCGCGTAAGTATCGTGGCGATTACAAAGGCGACGATTACTTCGGAAACAAATACTTCGAGATACCAGCCAATCCGGCTGTTGGCCAACGCAAAGAACGCTGGTTCGAGCCGGCCGATAAGGAGGCCTTTGACCAGGAGCTGACCGCCGAATGGGAGGCCTGGCTGCGTGGTCGTCGCGAGGAACCGCCCTCACGCGATGAATTGATCAAGAATCTTCAAGTCATTGAGATGAAGAAGCGCAATGCAGCTGAGCTGGATGCGCAGTATGCCAAGGAGAAGGACGCGGGCGCACTGCCCAAGCAGGTGGAGGGCGAGACAATTGGCACGTATCCCAAGTACAAGGATTACGAAATAAATCCCGGCAAGAAGCCAATGGATGAAAAAAAATAAACATTGTTTGTGTATTTTGAATTTGTTTGTTAATATATGTACGTATTACTAGTTTAACTTTATGCGCTAGTTTACCAATCATTCAAATCTAAATCCTTTACAATATCCACAGCCGTGGCGGCTTCATCGTAATCATCTGCAGCGGGCTCTGCGGGCGCCGCCTGCTTTAGCTCCAAGCGCGGCTCATTATCCTGCTTATGTTTGGGCTTCTTGGGCTGTGGCGGCACTGCTTCTTCATCCTCATCGTCGTCGTCGTCGTCGTCATGTGGTATGCCCGCTGCATCATCGTCTTCCGAGTCCGATGGGAACAGCTCCAGTTCGCCGTTTTCATTACGCACCGTCACGCCCGTCTTGGCCGCCGGTCGCTTCAGTTTGGGCACATCGTAGTCTGCATTGATGTCATCTGTTTGGGCCGCCTGGCGTCGCATCTTGGTCTCGTGCGTCTTCAGCCAGCTGGCATAGTAGATGTCCAATGGTGTGCGCTTATTGCGCACCTGCTGCTCCCAGGCTTGCACCGCCTGTGCATCCTTCAGGTCAAAGGTGACGGTGCTCTTGCTGCGCTGCTGTTCAATAAAACGGCTGCTCTCCTGAATCTTCTCCAGTAGCTGTTTCAGTTTGCGCACATAGTTGGCATTGCGGCACTCTTTGAGGTAGGCCTTAATGGCCATCACCACAGGCACCACCAGATCGCTAAACGCCAGCGTGGCCGACTCATGTGCCAGATACTCCAACAGCAGGCCGCACACCTGCTCGACGACCTCATCGCGGAATCCGTTCTCTGCCAGCTGCGACTTGTTCAGACGCAAGATGCAAGTAAATTGCAGTGGCTTCATGGACACCGATGTGTGCTTCCGATTGAAGGTATTGCTGCGCAACACCTCGACAATAAGCGGCAGGATTGGCACGTACGTGTGCGTCTCCTTAGCCAGCGAGATAAGCGCTTGCAGGCAATGGAAGCGTAGCGGAAAATACTGCGCTGTCGGTATGAGTCGAATGACGCCGGTGGTGATGGTCACCAGTGGATAAACCAGCGGCTGCAATTGCGGTTTGTTTGCCGTCGCGCCAAGCAAATCCGACCACAAGCGCAACGAATTGATAAACTGCCAATTGTAGACCGCCTGGAAGCTGTCCTTCTTTTTCAAGATGACCGCATTGCGCAGATGTATGGCCAGTTGACGTATGTAGAGAAAGGCATGCTGATAGCTAACGTTCAGATCCAGGGCGAACATCTCCACCAGCGAGCGGCGCATGAAATTGATGCCCGGCAGCGTGCTGGGCGAAACGAACTTGGAGTTGCGCACATACGCCAGATACATGGCCTTCAGCACATGATTCAACATGGTGGCCTGCCAGAGTAACAAGTCAAGTGTTAATAAAAATTCTCTACAGGATTAGGCGGTAACTTACCTGTTGTTTTCGTGTGATTTTCAGTATGCACAGAAAAGCCAGCACGCGCACCGTTTCATCGCCCGTGGCCCACAGCACAATCAGACGCTTGAGGATGGTCTTACCTAGCGCCGTAAATGGCGCCACCATGCCAGCCATTTGATGCAAATGCTTGAGCAGCACATTAAGTATATTCGAGCTGGACACCTGCTCCACGAGGCGTATCAAGTCGCCCAAATAGTAGCGCAGGCAGCCACGCACCTTTACCCACTTCTTGTGCTTGTGCAGCGGCAAGCTGCTGTTGGGTTTGACGCCCAGCACACGGATTATGGCTGGCTGCAAATGGAGCACGCACAGCTGAATGACGCCGTTGAAGGTGGCGGCGCCAACAACTTTGTAGGTGCCGGCATTGGCCTGTTCGCCCTCGGCATCGGCACTAATGCTGGCCAGCGCGGAATTGAAGGCTTGTATTACCTGACGGACTGCTTCAATGGAAACATTGGGCTTGGTCAGCTGCAGTTCCCATTGGCGCAGCATGTTAAGTGTTATTTTTTGTGCGCCACCCGCAGCCGCTGCGTCTTCATCCTCGTCGCCCTCAAAGTCGCTCTCGTCGCTGGCCACGGCCAGATCATCGCTAGGCTTGTGATATTTCCCATCATCCTCCTCGCTCTCCGCAGCTTCGTTTTGTTCAGCCACATCAGCTACCTCCTCATCGTCATCATCACTGTCCATGAGATTAAACTCTAGCAGTTCCTTGTCGTTCTTTTTCAGAAAATCATAGAACTCGGGATCTATATCCTTAAGACCTTCCAAATCCTGTTTTTTCAACGTTTTCGCCGTCTTCTTCTTTGGACGCTTCTCATCTTTGCTTGTTGCGGCGGCGCTCTTTTGTTTTACTGTTTTTTTCGTTGCCTTTGGCAACTTTGATTCCTCTGGCGGCTGCTTTTTCTTCATTACACCCTTTGTTGGCTTTGTTTTGTCCAGGGATTTCACTTTTTTCGTTGCTACCTTCATTGCTTTTCGGGAATTAAATAAAACCAATCTTCAATAAATTCGATACTTGCACAACACGTGCCGCTTTACATTTAACAGATTTACTCGTTACTTGGCAGTAGTATCGCCACTTAACAGAGCTAGTTCACGGTTAACAGCAGGTTTTGCAGCTGTTTATATATTGTGGTGGCTGCTCGATAGACTGCCGATATTTTGCTAGCGCGTTTTTTAAACTTCTGCAAGTACAAGCTTTTAAGCTACGGATATACAACTTTAAGAGATCTTAGAATTTTATAATTATAGCCTTTTCGTAAAATAGCAGCACAGCATAAGGCTGTGTGACAAAGATAAATTGCATTTTGACAACCAAAAAACAAATACATCTCCTGTCAGTTGCACATTAATTAATCAGTAAAAACGTCGATCAACTAATGGAAACGCTTAAGGGGGCGTTGAATAAGCTCTACTATCGTTTTTCAGTTGCAGTTACGCCTGCGTCTGCGTCAGGGGCCACACATCTGGCCAACTTGTTGCCAACTGCCGCGCAACAAGTTGTTGTTGTTTGCAGTTTGTTTGTTTTTGCTGTTGCTGTTGTTGTTTTTGTTGCTGTTGTTACAGAGACTGAAAACGAGAGTTAGGCTTAAGTGGAGCAGGGGTTGTTTGCCTTGATCAACGGCACTCGCAATTATTAATAGAAAAATTCACGTAATGTAAAACAAAAACAAAAAACAGAAAAACTTGATACCGCCAGCTTAAATAATTGTATGCATACGAGGGGTGGTGGGGAAGGGAGGGGGGGGGGGGAAAAAGCTCAGATCCGCCTTAACAACACCTACGTTTGGCCCCCTTGAATTACAGTTATGCATTTCTGGTGAACGTGTGCTGTGCAGCTCTTCCAGACATCCTTCAGCAGTTACGAAATGGCTTAAATGGGAATGCCAGTCGTCCAGTCCCGAATGGGACCGCCGCAATAAAAGTGTCACACTCCCGAGACACCCCCGCCCAAAGTTCCAGCCGTAAGCTCCAGTTCCAGCGCCGCACGCAGTAGCAGTCGGCGCCGTTGTTGTTACCATGTCATGTTGGCAGCCACTCCCAATCGCAATTGCCCATAAATCTTGCCCGGCCAGTTGCCATTCACTTTTTTTTTTTATTATAATTGTCTTTTATTTATGTTTTCCGCAACGCGTGCACGCAAAACGCATGACGCAGCCGCAGCGACAATTTCCTAGATCGCGTTGCAAGTTCAAGTTTACGCAGTTTTCAAGCCAAATCGAAATCAGCTTCCTGCTCGGGCGCAGTTTTACAACGCACTTTACTGGTTTATTCGCACGCAGCAGCAGCAGTTGGCCCACAAAATGCGCAACTGCATCAGCTTTTTGGCCAAGGCCAGGCCAGGCATTTGGGCCAACGCATAAGGCGTGCGCCGCCCGTGCATTGCTTTGGCTGCCGGTTTGTCGATCTTGTTTTTTTTATTTTTTTGGTCATTATGCGGCTTGACTTTATTGTTGTTGTTTTGTTTTTGTTTACGATTTGCTGCCTTAGTTGTTTATGCTTATGCGCTTATGATCACATTGTGTGGGCGATGCCATGAATTACCGAATAAGGTTAATGGACTAACTCTGATCTGAGCGCAGAGTCTGCAATTGGCTTATAAAGTGTTTAAGTGCAATCAATTGATTTTATGTGCAATTTTAAATGCGGATTTTGTTTAAAATAGTTATGGTATAAATGAACTAACAAATAAAATGAACTATTAACTAAAATTTGTCTTAAATTCATTTGTATTTTTTAAAAGAAACAAATTTTTAAATTGGTCAAAGCTTAGGTATCAGATATCTAGTTCTTATTATTAAAAAAATATATATTTACTTACAAGTTGTATTCGAGTAAATAATGGTTGAATAAAAATAAATTTGAAAGCTATACTTAATCAGATCTTGATTTAATATTGAGATCTAGAGTAGGATAAAAGTAAATCTAAAAATATGAACTTTCGAATCGGGTATTTCCTTCAAAATAACTTTAAGTCTAGAAAACTGGAAAACTGGCCCCCAAAAACTTGTCTTGCACTCACATAGAGACATGAGTCTCTGGTTCTCCCCCTCCGCCTATCTGCCCTGCCTCCGCCTACCTCCTCAGCACACGTTATAAGCCTTATCAAGTGAAGGCAATTGGCATCCCCCAATGCAAAAGCTACTTAGTTGTGGCCGTTGAAGCGTGTACACTTCAACTTCAAGGCGGAGGCATGTCATAAGCATTTGAGAGCTGGCCATAGAACGTGTTAAATAAATAATACTTACCTTATAAGACTCGTAATGCTCTCTGTTCGTTGTGACAGTTGTCGAGTGGGTCTGGCCACAAAAGTGGCTAATTATTGCGTTAACTTAATGGCCATTAACTTTGCCGCTTACAAACACAATTGTAATTGGATTAATTACGCAAAGAGATTGATTGAATAGCGCCTAGTCAAATCACATCAATAAGTATTAAATATGTACATTAGCACGAATTTAATATAATTAAAATTGCCGCAACAGACCCGAATTCGCAGTTTTCGGAGGCCACCCACTTGAATTCCATAATCAAGTCGAATGTTAGTTTAATTCAATTATTTGCAAACAATTAAATTAATACCTGCTGCTCTGGAGTCAATGCGACCAACAACTATCCTAACCACGAACTTGCTTAAAGGCTTATTATATTTTTAATCCACCAAGTAAGCCCCGAATCGTAAATAGTATTAGGAACTTAAGTGGTTGATGGGGACTGAAGCAAATGCCTCTTTCCACGAACCCAGGCTTGTACGTATTAATTAGAATTTAGTATAAGGCTTTGATTGAAAGTAAATTGATAAAATTTTACTTAATATAAATTTCTTAAATTTTATGAATATTCCAATTTTATCCAGCTAAATGTGGAAGTCATATAGCAATCTAAAACAGAATCGGGTCTTGCCTCCGCGAATCGCGTCGTGTACATTTATGATTAGCAAATAAATATACTTTTTTTTAATCATTTCAAGTAGGGTATGACAAACTAAATGAAATAATGAGCAGCATGGTTAGGTGTCGGAGGCGTGGGTGTAGAAGGCAGCCGTTGCGGCAATCGGGCAGCCAACACATTTGGCAACTAACCATTGGCAGTGTACGAATGTCTGGCCACCATTTGGGTCCGATCTGGTGGCAACTGGCAGCAGCTTGCAACAATCGGCAGGCCGCAAATTGAATTCAAGCGTGGCTAACATTGTTTAGGCCAGTCCCACAAGCCACCAAGCCACCAAGCCACACTGGGCCATAATTAGTTTATGCTCTTTTATGCGATTTTAAGTATGGAATTCGCATTTATCTGCTGCCGCCGCTCCAATAGTGGGCGTTGCACGGCTACAAAATAAAAAAAAAAAACAAAAAATTAAAAAAAAAAAGTGAAATATTTTGATAAGGACTTTTGTCTGCAAGCATGATGCAATCGCGGCTCGAGATTGCGCCAAGCAGCACTTGTTAGCGCGCTGCCTGACTTTGGGTTAGGTATTAAAATGCCACAAAAATTGGGCCAAATGGTAAATGGAAGTGTGCTGTTGCCGTCGAGTGCGACATGTGCATTGTTATACCACGCTGAACCCATTGAAAGCGCTCCAGAGCGGGTATACTGGCTGTGTCCAAGCGCTTGTAACGGGCAGAAAGAAGGCTTTGCGATCCCAGAGATATATATGGCTGTGGGAGAGCGTCAATCTCATCGGCTATTACCTTATATTTTAAACCTAGGCCCTTTTGCGGCACTTGCGAGAAATTTACTTCTAATAATCGCAACCTTGCTCCGTTTTCGCGGTATCAAAAGTCTCTCATTGCTTTAGAACTGGGGTATCTCCTCTTCCAGTTCCCATCAGAATTGTAAATAAATTCATTCTTTGAGATATTGCCTTATACTTTACACACTTCTTTGTCGTAAATTTGATTAAGATCGGGCTATGGCATCCACAAAATTCAGAAAATTTCACTTTTAAGATACCATTTTCCCCTGTTCCCAACAGAATTGCAAATAAACTCATTCTTTGAGTACTCACTTGTGTATGCTTTGAAAATCTTATACAGATCGGACTACAAGTGCCGATGTTAAGCAATACTGTATTTTCCATACAGTGTGGGAGGAGGGAAGAAACATAGTCGTTCGCTTATATATGTATTTTTTGGTTGTATACAAGAAAGTTATTAATTTTATAGCGACAGCTTGGCGCTGGCTGCGGGGTATCTCTTAGTGGAGCACGCCCGTCTGCCAGCGCACGTTTGTTTTGAATTATGCAATTGCTCGGTGTCAGGCTGATTTATGCCAGTTGACCGCCCAACACTGGCTGGTCTAACGCCTCGCCGCTTGGACGCCTCCTGCCGCATGTCACGTAGCATTTGGCCAGATGTGTCCAAGATCAATGCCAGACCAGCTCAGATTTGCATTGTGCGCATGTCCGTTGCTGGAATTTTGAGGCGCGGCTGGGCAAAATTAAATGGGCGTTCGAGCTGAACTTATGATCCGTGAATGCTGCAGCTTTATTTATGCTTAGAACAGAAACAATATATAAATGTAACTTGGTAAAAAAAAAAAAAAAAAAAACAGACATCTCTTCAGACTTTGTAGCCAACAAGGTGACGGCGTCCAATGACTTCGCCCATAAAGAACCAGGTGATCACCTCAATGGTCACCAGGGTATTTAGCCAAGCCTCAGCGATGGTCACCTTGCCGAGGCGACTGCCAGCGCCCTTCATATCCTTCTTGGCTGACTTGGCGGTTGCTTGCGCTGTCTTGCGTATATGGGCAAAATCTGCAGGAGTCGGCGGCACCAGCTCCACCTTGGCATAGCGCATGAACTCATCGAACTGCGGACGAGCCTGGGCCTTGAGCTCTAAAGGATGTTTTTGAAGAGATTAGCTGAAAGCAGCGTAAATTGATTGATAACTTACTGTTGAACAAGACTGTGGCCTTGGCAACCAGGTTGGCCATATTGAGTAGACGATGAAAAGTTAGAAAAGCTGGAAATTTATTGCTTAGAAGCACGTTTTAAATTAGTTTTAATGTGTGCAGCAAAGCTGTGAAAAGCTGACAACGCAGTCAAGGCAGCAAAACTGTATACAAAAACGGAACGCTTGAAATGAAACAAATAACTCGGGCAACAACTATCGATACAAATTTGTTTCGCCTTAAATTTATATTTGATAATTTGAAAATATTTAAATTTAGCCAAATCGCCTATTACAATGCCCAAATAACTTGTGTTTGGCCATGTTCAGCAACAAGAACGAAAGAAAAAAAACCAGCGATCCATGTAAATGTTTTGGAAAATTTGCATAATGGACCACGCTAGGCGCTTGTTTTGCACAAATTTCGTGCAGACCCACGCCAATTAGCCGATTTTGTGGCGATAACTGACCGATCATTACAACGCGGACAAGATAGTTATTAGCCAAGCGCTTTATGCTGAGGCTAATCTCCACCCACCGTTTGGGAAAATAGCCGCAGAGCAACACAATTGGGCCACGAAACAATGGTCAAGATGTTCGTGGATTGGCATTAAAATTCAGCAGATCTGCCCTGATAGAGTTATACTTTACAAATACGCCCGGAAATTTCATCATTGATTGGCTGCCTTACAGTCTAAACTATTGGAATCAAATAAATACATTACAAGTGCTTTTTAATTTTCTTGCTTTATGAATATTAAAGTCGCTTTCCATTCGCATTCCAATCGCCCGTTACGGCCCTGTGGCATATCATATAAAATGTGATTAATGCTGTTTTTTTACCTGTCAAAACTGTGCAGCTGCCTCTTAAATGGTTCTGGTCGTGTTTAATAGCTTGACCAACTCATTTGCTGCTTAAAATTGTCTTTGACTCTTTGACCTGCTCGTTAAATGCGATTTGCATCTTATGTCAATTGCAAGTCGAAGTTGAACAGCATTCTGGTACTTTAGTAAGTGTCCAAATATGGAAAAGTAGTTCAACAATTTGATTTGCTATTTTGCATTTTTATTGTTTACCAATGCTGACAGCGTTTGATTATATTTATTTTTGGGCGTTGCCCGTGCACATGCCTTCCTACTTTGGTGCCCGGGAAATGCTCGTTGTAAAACAACAATTGTACATTGAGAGCACTGAGAAAAATCACAAAAATAATTCAATTAAATTTCAATAAGTTATTATTAAAAGGAATTTAATTTAAACATTTAATTCGAAAGGAATTCAACAAGGAAAAGGAACTCATGAAAATGGGCTTAGTTCCAAATCGATTGTTTTTTGAATTTCGATAACCTGATTTGCCCGCCTCTTGTGGTCTATGTGATGTCACAAGGAGGCACTTAATTTAAATAGAAAAAATAACGGCAAAGTTTATTTTTGGGTCTCCACTTTTTTTTTTCGGTGCAAGCACGCGACTTTGTCTGTTTGCGGCCAAGTGATATATAATTAAAAAATATTCTGACAATCACAATAACAACAGCTTATAGCTATGTTTTATATGCAATTGCTGCCAGCGCCGAAAGTAAACAATGTTCGGTGCATGGGCGAGAGGGGAGGCTGAGGTTTGCGGGCGCATACGGCCGCAGGTCTATGCTTATGGCTTTTAAATGTGTTTGTGGCTTTATCAATATAATTTGGTTGTTGTTGCTGTTGTTGTTGCAATTTTCGTGTTGTCGATTGGTTAGGCCGATAGCTTGTGTCTCTGTGTGTGTATGTGTGTGTACGTGTGCTTGTATGTTTCCTTCGGCTCTAAATTCTTGCTTATTGCAATTTGCGCAACAATGCGGCCCCGCCCGCACACGCCCGACCCACCACCAGATGCTCCATAGAGAGACGCCGACACCACCCAGCAGATCTCAGCCGGACGATTTGACGCTGCGACGTCGACGGCGACGCTGACGGCGCAGCTGGGCAGTGAAAGGCCGGCACCCAGGCAGAGCACTTGGCCAGAGATCTGCTCCAATTCTGCGACTGCGACGCCAGCAGAGGCTCTCAGCCATTGGCTTGTGCCAGGCCTTTGGCTTTGGCTGGGCGGGCGTCGTCGTCGTCGTTGTTTTGAGTCTAGTTTTTGTGTGTTTATTCGAATTTGATATATATTTTTTCTTGAGTGCATTTGTTGTTATTGTTTGCCACTTTGGTGTGGGGCAGGTTTTTTTTTTTTTCTATTTTGAATGCTGTTGGAAATGCATTTGCTGTGCGAAGTCCGCGCCAATTTTTTAGTATAAAAGTTACCACAATTTGGTAGTCGAAATCAGAATCAACTCGTTCGCTGAGCATTCAACAAGTCTTCCTTCTACTCCTTCAACTTCTTTACAAACCCTCAACAACAACAACATGAAGGTAAGACTTGGGCACAAGCAGCTTATATTTGATTTTTCGAACTGGCGCTAATCTTGGTGCTTCTCCTGCTTTCAATTTACAGTTCGCCGTTGCCGTAGTCATGTTCGTGTGCGCCGTTGCCGGTGCCCAGGCTTCGTGGGCCGCCATTGCTCCCGGTGTTTCCTATGTGAACTCTGTGTCGCATGGTGGACCCGGTCTGTGGGGTGGTGCCTGGAATGGCGCCTGGAACGGTGCCTGGAATGGTGGCTGGAACAATGGCTGGGCCGCACCCGCTGCCGTTGCCGTTCACGCCAGCGCACCCTGGGGTCTCTCTGCTCCCGGCTGGCACGGTGGTGTTCCCGGCATTGCCCTGGCTCAGGGTCCCGGTGCCGCTGCCCTTGGTCCTCATGGTCATGAGGGCGTCTATGTGGCCAAGACTCGTGGTGCCATCCACACCGCTCCCCTCGCCGGTCACATCAACTCGGCCACCTCCGTGAATGTGGCTCCTGCACCCGGTACCCTGTAAATGCTGCCAAAAAAAAAAAACAACCCACATCAAATAACAAAACGAATGCCAAATGAAGTGAGCAGCTGGCGGGCAGGACAACACAGTCGGGATCACCGTGCAATTGGCCAACCAGTTGTTGTCTAACTCTACGCTATCCACTTCTTTCCACGATTTTAACGACTCTCTACTCGGATACTCTACCACCACCACAGCCACCCATTATTCTTAAGCACACCGCTCTTAGTCCCGTTTGCGAGCCATTGCGGGGCATCTGCGGGCGACTCGTCCGCCTGCGGATTCCCTGGACTGGTTCACACCAAAACACGCACTCACTCACGCGCACATTTGAGTTAGTTCTGTGTTCAGCAAATAAGTCCAACAACAGCAACAACAACAATTACAACAACTACAACCAACAAATAACAGCATGTTAATTTCTTATTACTTGAGAACTTTACAAAACACCAGCTTTTCCGACTTTCCCTCTATCTATCGCCCCCATCTTTATATATTTGCAACAATATACTTTCTATCTATCACAATCTATTCCTTTATTCCTTTCAAAAATTTGTACATATTCGGTGTATATATATATATATACATACATACACATAAACTTATTGTAGTAATTTGCAACAATTGTAAGATTGACGAAAAACGTTTTAAATAAACTCATTCAGCGTTTTTATTTATGCGAAAAATTTAAGGATTTCATTTCAAGATGTTGTATATAAAAGTTATAAGAAAAGTTGGATTAAAAAACTAGATTCTAATTTCTAGATATCCCCTATTATTATTCCATTAAGTCCCTCTCCGATCATATGCCGAATATTGGGATACTCTGTTCAAATTTCATGCCATATCTTGGGAACTTGACTTAAATATTGTATTTCACGTGCTAATACATTTTTTTCCTTTAATTTTCATAGGAATTTCAGGTGTAATACAAAGAACTGATAGAAGCATGGAGCTTTCGATCAATCGCAATGCGCCTGGAATTAAAGGTTTAACTATTCTTGGGGATAAATGTTTCAAAATAAATAAAGAGCGCAAAGAAAATAACGTGTTTCGTATTTCTTAAAATGTATTATCATGTAATATCCGCAAATGTTCATTTTGCAACTATGAGATTTATAGAAACTAGTTCCAGTTCTCCAGCTGCTTTGTTAAGTTGGCTACGTTAAGGCGTGCTTATTAAGTTGGCGGCACTAAGTTCTCAAAAGGTACTCAATCAAAGGCACCCTAGGCACAAAAATACCCAACCCAATCCATAAAAACAATTGAAATGTGACCGCTTAAAGCGAACGAAGTCGTTAAAATACCTTAGCTAGGTAATTAAATGTATAATCAAATTAATAAGGAGTACTATAAAATGTGACCTTGGGTAGTAGCACCCATAGATCTAACCCTGAGAAAAATTACAGATTACTTAATTGATTGCATATCGAAAAGAATGTCTAGATCAAATATTTCTTTGTACTAGCTTAAGTGATTTAATCGACTGTGCACTTAGCAGTTAATACTATATGATGTGTTTGGATGTTTTTTTTTTATGGCCATTGAACGGTAGTCAAGACCGGGCCAATGTACATTTGAGCCAACTAAGTGTTTGCAATTTAAAACGCGACCACAGGGCGTATGCTTAATTATGCAAACGCTTAGCGCTAATTACAGCACAGAAATGGTAACAGCCCCAGCACCTGAGACCAGATCGAACTCCATAATCAAACGAATACATATATATGTTTCTTGACGGAGGTTTAAATTATGGCAGCAGTTAATTACAGTTTATCAGCAAAAGTATCTCAACTTGAACCCTTGCAGAACAATAGATACATTTGTTTTTTTCATCTTGGCGTTGGCGTGTTGGCCAATATTTGTCAGCCAATCTGTGAGGGGATGTGGCCTCAAATATGTGTCTTTAGTGCAACGACACCTGACTGGTTTTCCTGACTTTGTTTGGGGTTTTCTTTTTTTGGACAGCCGCCTCAGAACAGGTTCGCAATGCGGCTGCAATTGGCAAGGTTTTCGTTTTTTATGTTTCAATTCAATTTATTTTTTTTTTCGTTACTTGCAACCAAATCGAATTGTTTGCCATTTGCATAATTGAATTGTTGTTTTACTTTTAGCGGGTGTCTTTGTACTGCGATCTAATTGTTTCACCTAATGGCTATCTGCGTGGGTGGATCCGACTGGAATCCGGCTGTAGGTCTGCAACACCCACGCTCCAGGGAGCGGCTCTTGTGTGTTATATAATAACCATTTAAATACACTCCATTTTGCAATAGAAGGCGGCATAATTAAACTACATTAAGGAAGTTATCGCAGAGCTTAAATATTCTGTGTAACTCTCTATGATTTTAGCACAGAGAATTCTGCTTGGAACCGAAATCGAAATATAAGCTGTAAGCCTGTCTTTCTGGATTTCCAGTTTAATATTTAATTCAAGTTGAATCTTTCCCTATTACTTAAATTGTAGTCTAGTAAATAGATAGATTTCCATATCATATTTCATATTCCCTAAGTAAATCGTAGTCGGTGGAGGAAGCTAACAAAATCCGAAGAAAAAACTCTATCAAGCTTTCAGCCTTCCATTTTAATGTGCATTACATTTTGTAAGAATTTAGGTATTTTTTTCGATTTTTAATTTAATCTCTTTCCAGAAATATATTAATTTATTTTTATTTTCCTTAAATATAGTAATTGTGCAGCCTGTTAAAACGTTAATAGAGTTGGTAGACTATATGAAATTTCTTTAAAATTGATTTATTCAAATGAATTGATATAATCTGTGAAGCAATTATAGAGTTTTGGATTGTAAATCAATTAGGTGTGCTGTGCCATAGCCAAATCAGGATATGGAAACGAACCATAATTGGATCGCAAGCTAGTCACATTATATGCTAATGAGATACAACAACAATTAAGTAATTATAAATACAAAAACAAAAACAAAATTAAATCAGAGCAAGCGTCGAGACAGTGAAAATAGTTTAACCGGAACTGCAACTGAAAAGTTGGGTTGGGCCTCGCACAGCTGAAATGCATTTCTGAACATGGCCAAGATCTATTGGGCTTGATCGATCGACTGAGTGTTGAGTGTTGAGTCTGGGTGCATGTTTGTGTGTGTGCCGTGTTGCTGCTCAGGTGAACGCCTGCATGTGGCATGTCATTAGCTGTAATCACATGTATGCAAAAGATATGAATATATGGCATATGTAATGTATATCTAACTCGAACTCGAACTCTCACTTGGCTGAACTTTTGCTGACCATTGTTGACGGACGTTAGCTGCATTTTTTCTGCTATAAAACTGGCCACAGTACAGCCAATTGATCAGTTCAGAACAAGAGTTCATTAAGAGCACAACAAAGCAAACACAATTAGCAAAATGAAAGTGAGTATCCGCGGGGATTTGCGATCTAGCCAGGATTAACACATACATATTTCCAGTTCGCCATCGCTGTTGTCTTCACCCTGGCCCTCGCCATGGGCGTGCAGTCCTCGGTCATTCCGTTGATCTCTCAGCTGGCTGGTCACGGTCTGTCCTATACGGCCGTTGCTAATCCTGTGCTGGCTTCTCCCTGGGGCGTACCTGCCGCTCACTGGCCCGCCGCTGTCTCGGTTGGCTCCTGGCCGCCAGCCGCCCATGGCCCGGCTCTGATTGCTGGTCACGGTGCCGCCGTGGTGGCTTCCCATGCACCGGCTGTGGTTGTCGCGCCCGTTGCCCACGAGGGTGTCTATACCGCACAGACCCGTGGTGCCGTCCACACCGCTCCGCTGTCCGGCCACATTCAGTCCGTGGCCTCGATCAATGCTGCTCCCGCTCCCGGCACCATCTAATTACGGACTTTTCACCAATTGATCCGCCCCAATGGAAAAGAATATTGTAATGAAAAATGTTGTAAATACTTGTATACTCATAAACAGGGTTCTCGCACCGGCCATCTAAATTTTCCTTTCGAACGCACTCGCTAAAATCTCGCTCGCTCTATTTATTCAAAAGCCATTTTCGTAACAAAGTGACAAAAGAAAATCAACTATGAAATCGACTTTCTTTCTAGATAATAAATCTATTTAAAAAAGTTCAAATCAACGAATTTTTCTTACAATTATTTTGTGTTAATTTTCAAGAGTTTCTAGTCATTAATTAAGCTAGAATGTTTCTTTCGCAAATACTTTAAACTTTCCAGAGTTCCCAGAAAGGATTAAAGCTTTCTTAAAATTTCTGTAATAATTCAATAATAAATAACACCTACTTTTTTTTAAGAGTCTTTACCACAAAGAGGTTAAATATTATAAACTTTCTTAACATTTATGTTTTAACATATATTGATTACATTTCTTTACATTTATTGATTAACATTTTTGACATGTTTTTTAACATTAAGCTTTCTAGATTCTTTAGATTTAGATTCCTTACTGCTTAAACTTTTAATTATAACAATTGAAAACTTATTGGAATCTCTACAATTTCTTTGATTAGACTCATTAATTAAAGCCACCTGCAAATTTGCTTAAGGTCCATACAAAATAACAGTTCTAGAGTTTCTAGATATGATTCACTGCTAAATTCTACCAATAAAGTGGCTCAAGGTTCTAGTCTAGCAACACATATAGTCATTCGATTTGTTAGTCAGCTGCTCAGATAAAGGTCTTGACTTTAATTACGCGCATAATCTGTTATATCGCAATTAACGGACTTTGTAATACAAAACAAGTCTCTTTAAGCTGTAAATTAAGCACTCGCTAGAGGCATAGAAACAATTGAGATATCTTTGCATATTTATCTATAAGTATGGGCTTTCGATATATGTGTATCACTATACATAAAACTGTTTGTTCTGACTGACTGGCTACTTGATTGACAGATACCCTTAAAAATCTCATATGGACATGGGTCAAAATTTCCCAGCCTCATAGCTCGGTCAAAACTCAACCGATTTTCACGTGGTATGGCTTTTTGTTAATGGTTTGGCCCCCTTAATAATTTGGCATTTAAATCTGGCAACGTAATTTTTCATCGAAATTCATGTAAAAATTGTACCCCTAAATCTCTTCTCATACGGACATGGGTCAAAATTTCCCAGCCTCATAACTCGCCAAAACTCAACAGATTTTCACGTGGTTTGGCTTTTTGTTAATGATTTGGCCCCCTTAATAATTTAGCATTTAAATCTGGCAACGTAATTTTTCATCGAAATTCATGTCAAAATTGTACCCTTAAGAATCTCACATGACATGTGTCAAAATTTCCCAGCATCATAACTCCGTCAAAACTCAACCGATTTTCATGTGGTTTGGCTTTTTACGCATCGTTTGGCATTTAAAATAATTTGGCATTTAAATCTGGCAACGTAATTTATCATCGAAATTCATGTAAAAATTGTACCCTTCAATCTCTTCTTATACGGACATGGGTCAAAATTTTCCAGCCTCATAACTCGGTCAAAACTCAACCGATTTTCACGTGGTTTGGCTTTTTGTTAATAGTTTGGCCCCCTTAATAATTTGGCAGTTAAATCTGGCAACGTAAGTTTTCATCGAAATTCATGTCAAAATTGTACCCTTAAGAATCTCACATGACAATGGTCAAAATTTCCCAGCCTCATAACTCCGTAAAAACTCAACCGATTTTCACGTGGTTTGGCTTTTTGTTAATAGTTTGGCCCCCTTAATAATTTGGCATTTAAATCTGGCA